CCTACCTGGGGAAACAACCTTTCTCGGAGAGGTGACCTTGGTTAAAACACATAGCGCGAAGGTGAGCAAACATATTAAGAACAGTATGCCATATACGCCAGGTCCCTTGAAACATATGCTGTGCAGATGTTTCTTCTCTGCAGCGACTGTGTCAAGCAGCAAGGATGGACCGGCTCCCGGCACTCCATCACAGAATATCCTAAGACCTCTTTACCCCATGAAAAATCCCCATTTCTAGGTAGGAAAAAAAAGAATTGAATTGAATATATGATTGGTACGCAACACTTTTTATGTGCCATTATATTTACTTTTGAATGGACAATATTATTGTTCTCCTTTGATAGCCAGGGAAATAAGTGCTTAGAGAAGTTAAACAAAATGGACCCAAAGCCACACAACTGGTAAGCATCACTGTTGGAACCAGCAATTCCAGAACAATTTTCTTCTCTGGAAACTAGTGCTTCTCAAATTTAGCTACATATTAGAATCACCTGACAATTTCATAAAACTCCTAATGCCCAGGGGACTCTCCATAACAAATTAGCATCTCTGAGGTTGGAACCCAGGCATCAGTATTTTTTAAGCCTCATCTGAGGATATGTTTTAATTGATATTAGAGAGGAAGGGAGAGAGTGAGAGAGAAACATCAATGTGATAGAGAAGCATTGACCGATTGCCTCCCATATGGTCCCCACCAGGGATCAAACCCACAACCTTTCTGGTGTATGGGATGACACTCCAACCAACTGAGCCACACCAGCAGGGCCAGACAGCAGTGTTTTTAAAATAATCTCTCTAGATGACTCCAGAGACAGCCAAGTCTGAGAACTAGTGCTGTAAGGCAAGCTGCTTTGAGAGAAACTCAAGTTTATTTACACTGGGTAGGACTGATCAATAATTCTTTAACCTTTTCAGAGGAATTGCTATTTTTTAATAGTAATAAAGCTAACTCATCTCCCAGGTGTAGAATCTAAGACTATATGAAGGAAATAGTTTAGGACAGTGGTCGGCAAACTCATTAGTCAACAGAGCCAAATATCAACAGTATAACGATTGAAATTTCTTTTGAGAGCCAAATTTTTTAAACTTAAACTATATAGGTAGGTACATTGTTATTAACTTAATTAGGGTACTCCTAAGGCTTAGGAAGAGCCACACTCAAGGGGCCAAAGAGCCGCATGTGGCTCTCGAGCCGCAGTTTGCCGACCGCGGGTTTAGAACAAGGAATCCTTCTAATCCCTCTGCAGTCACAGTAAAAGCATGACCATCTCATCTCTCTATGAGCTCAGCATGACCACTGGACCCTGACTGTAGCCCAGACAACTCTGGGGTAGGTTGCTATCCTCTTGGCCCTGCCAGTGCTCCTGGAAATGTGATTCAATTGCTACATCTGGTGACTTAAGAATTTTTCCCAACCCTGTCAACCTCACTCTAGGTAAATCTATTCCAGACAATTTTTCTAGTGTTTCTTGAAAAGTCAGGATTATTTATTTATGCCTCTTTCCATCACATAATCAGGAGTGAGGTATTATGACTATCAGTATTCTTAGGAGTTTGTGAATATATTCTTCCAAAAAGAAAAAAAGTCACTTTCAACACAGCCTTTGCTGCTTAAAGAGTGGACAGCAACACTAAATTTAGCCAAGGTAGACCAAGGTAGCTGTTAAATCCTTAATCCGGAAAGGTAGTAATTAAATTAAATGGTAAAGAGAATTCAGGTGCTCTTAGAACAGGAAGAGAAAAACGGGGAGAGTGAGGGAGAGGAAGAGAGAAACAAGTAAGATTACCTACCTATGGCTTCCAGCTCCCTGCTCTCTCAGATAAAAACAGTCCTCTAATATCAACTAAGAAATCTAATAAAATCAAGCAATACAAAGTTATCCCCAGAGCTGTGCTAAGTGCTGTAGAGAAATATGATGCCAGGTTTCTTCGTTAATTTATGGATCCATTTGATGAAAAAGATTCACGTGTGAAATGTGTAGCATACAATGCAAGATGGTGAGCAGTGATTTCAAATACAAGCGGTACATGCTGAAGGAAGTCAGAGAATGAGATGTACGTGGAGCTACCAAAGGGCAGTCAGTCAGTCATTCAGGTCTTCCTGGAGAGAGTGAGAACTTGAACCAGACCTTGGAGGAGGGGTAGGAAAGAGAGGAAGGCAGCCAGAAGGCAGTGAGTGAATAAACAGAGTGCTTGCCCTTCTGTGTTCCGAGTTCATATTTAGAAAGAGTGAAGCTGTCTTGGGTACAGATCAGAGAATCCAAATTTAATAGCCAGAAGGAATCATGAGGCTGAATGGCAGTGTCTTATAAAAGGAAGGCTAGATTTAAAGTTGGGGAAAACCTAGGTCTGAGAGCCAATTACTTCAGACACTTGACCTTGAGTAACCTCCCAGCACCTCAGTTTCCTTTTCTGTATTTTGAGAACAACAGTCACCCCCTAACTCCTTCATAGGGATTTGAGAAAAATACGTTAGTTAAGTAATGGAAAAGACTTTGTAAACTGCAAAATGTTTGGCAGATGTTTAGGTTTTATCCTATATGATAAAAGCATAGTATGCAAATAGTCCCCTCGACTGGTAGTTCGACCAGGGGGTAGGGCCGGTCGGGGGAAGGGAGGGAGGCCCTGGCCGGCAGCTGGCAGATGCTAGGGACCCTACCAGTGCATGAACTGCATGCACTGGGTCTCTAGTTCTATATATTTTCAGCCTGATTCTTTCAATATGTGGGATGAGGAAACAAGTCTAGAAAGGTGAAATAATTCATTAAAGCCTAGCCCTTTAAATGAACAGTCTTGTGCTTTTCCCCTCAATAATGTCATTTCTAACTATGGAAAAATTTGAAAGCCATGCAATGAAATTTGACATAAAACAGTAGATATAAAAGTATACTTTTTTTTCAGAATATCAACTGTAATTGAAAAATTAAAATTAAAAAAACTTTAAAGTATACCTTCTTCAATACCATACATGGATGATGAGTAGTGCTTTGAGGCATTTGTCTGACAGTGACTTAGAAGGAAAGGATACTTGAGCCTCTGACATGGTTGAAGCGATTCGGAAATAAGGAAATGAGGGCTTGAAATTAGATGGCAAAGACGTTAGGGGAAGGAAAGACGGGTAAGACAAGTGACACACAGACTCAGAAATGACAGGAAGCAACTTATATAAAAAAGTGTTTTCTCAGTGGCTATTAATATGCCAGACCCAGTTCCAGGCATTGATGACACATGCGTGAACAGGATAGTCAAGATCTGGTTGTCCTCGAGTCTATATTTTATAGGAAATAGATAAGAAATAAAGAAATAAAATAATTTCAGATGGTGATGAGCTCCTTGAGGGAAATAAAACAAGGCAATGTGGTGGCTGGGCAGGATGGTTAGAAAACCCGGGGTGGGAGTCAGTGGGGGAGTGTCTCAAGCAGGAAACAGTCTGCAGAGACCTCAAGCCTGTGTGTCCAAGGGACTTCCCAGGCCACAGTGTTGCTGGAGAGGAGTGAGTGAGGAGGGCAGTGGGACGCAGGGCCGAGCAGTCACTAGGCGCAGGGGTGGGCAAACTTTTTGACTCGAGGGCCACAATGGGTTCTTAAACTGAACCGGAGGGCCGGAACAAAAGCATGGATGGAGTGTTTGTGTGAACTAATATAAATTCAAAGTAAACATCATTACATAAAAGGGTACAGTCTTTAATTTTTTTAGTTTTATTCATTTCAAACGGCCGGATCCGGCCCGCGGGCCGTAGTTTGCCCACGGCTGCACTAGGGGCTAACTGTGAGTTTAGGTTTTGTTCCAAGTAAGATGGAAAGCCAATGAGGATTATAAAGCACAGGACGGCATGATCTGACTGATGCTGTAAAAGGATTCGTGTTTACACAAATCAAACAAAAAGGATTTGTGGGGCTGCTTGTGGAGACAGCATGGGAAGGTAGGAAGGGTGGACACCGACCTATCCAACAGGAAGCTCTCAGTGGTTGAAACACAGGTTTGAGTGGCTCGGACAGGAAAGGGACAAGGAAGATCAGGAAAAGGGGTCTATTCTGGAAATACGTTGAAATTAGCAAGCAAAAGGGATGAGCTCATGAAGCAGGATGATCATCTTGCCTTAGGCAAAAGTAGAGAGATGGCAAAGAGGAAACGGTTCAAAATGAAGAAGTTGAGCTCAGCTTTGCACATGTTACATTTGGGGAAGAAGAGAACCATCCAAGTAGTGATATCTACCGAGGGCTAGAAATTCAGGACTAGCCACAGGGGGAAAACAAGAGCAACAAAATAAACTCGGGAGTCACCAACCTGTAGAGTATGGTTAAAGCTACAACCGCTTGTTGGGTTTAAACTTATTTTTGCATGGTCACTTTGTCCTCACAATAGGTCTTTAAATATATTTTTCTATTGATTTAATATGTGCCCTTATTTTAACAACAGTCTGCAAATTTGCAAGAATTAAGTCAATGAATGGTTTACTTGATCTCTCAAGATTCTTTCCAGAACCTGTAATTCATTTCTCTGTACTCATGTGCACCTAGAAAATAAAAGGGGTCGGGAGGGAAGCAAGAGATTGGTTATTATTTCACATGGAAAAACCAGGAAGTGTGAATATTTACCAATAGCACAGTTCTCTGTAGGCAAGTTCATGAAAGGAAAAAAAATGATTTCCAGTTCTGGGTGCATATTCTACTTTTAAAACCAGCAGATCCCTTACCTCTTCCCCCTCAATTTTAGGATTTCCATTCAGCTCAAAACACATTTGAATCTCTTATGAATGTCTCTTTGCACCTAATGTTTAAAATATGGCTGCAGCTTCCTTAGCAAAGTTCTTCTGACTAACAAAGGTTTTATGATTTTTCTTTTGTCCTCAGTTGCTATTCCTGCCTTTCAAGAACTGCCCTCGTTTTCAAGAACTAGAGAGGGAGACTTTGAAATCGGAGGAATTTCAGAAGAGGCTGCAGCCTTACAAGGTTACAAATGGAGTCTTTTCATGTGTGCATGAGTATGAGGGCCAAGTCCAAGGGCGGAGCTGCAGCTTCTTGAAAGTGTGGGTGGAACGGGCCTGCAGTGGCTGGTCTAGGCCAGTGGTCGGCAAACTGCGGCTCGTGAGCCACAAGCGGCTCTTTGGCCCCTTGAGTGTGGCTCTTCCTAAGCCTTAGGAGTACCCTAATTAAGTTAATAACAATGTACCTACCTATATAGTTTAAGTTTAAAAAATTTGGCTCTCAAAAGAAATTCCAGTCGTTGTACTGTTGATATTTGGCTCTGTTGACTAATGAGTTTGCCGACCACTGGTAGGCAATCGGTGAGGCTGTTTAATGAAGGTCAGTCATACTTCCTCTTCCCCATGGCTGTGCTGGGACCATGGACAGAAAGAAGCCAGTCCCTTTGGAATCTTATACCCAAGTCCCTGAGCGGAACCAGGTGAAAGTGTGTGGCTGGCTCAGCATAAATGCAAGTCTAAGATGATCTGCATTATTTTGAGGCTGAGGGGCTGGGCCTACTATATACAAAGGATAGGTTTGTGTGTGTGTGTGTGTGTGTTTTTAATGTTTCCATTTTGTGAAATGCCCCTTTTCAAGACTATGCAAAAGGTAAATTATCTTCCAAAATGCTTATTGCTGCCAGTTTCATCAGGCAGATAGCTGAGTGGTGGGTCTCATTAACGTGGCAATCTAAGAATAATACAGCACGTAGAGAATGTTTGCATCTCATCCAAATTTCACACTTATGGCCAGACACCAGGTCCTGGTTCTGCTGTGTTGTCCTGGGGTCCTTTGACCTGGGGCATGCTTTCCCTTCTCACCTTGGCCACTGATTTATATGTGAGTTATACATAACCTACTTCCAAAAAGAATTTTGAGGCAGTGCACTTCAGTCTGCTTCCAGGACAAACAAGGAGCATGTGGCGGTAAGCCAGCCTTTGCTCACATTTTGAATGCAGTAATGAGAAATGATCAATTAGTATTTGTAAAAAAAAAAAATTAGATATGTTTTAATTGATTTTTTTAGAGAGAGAAAGGGAGAGGGATAAAGAGATAGAAACATTGATTAGCTTCCTCCTGCACACCCCCACTGGGGATCAAGCCCATAACCAGGGCATGTGCCCTAACTGGTAATTGAACCTCTTGGTTCATGGGTCGATGCTCAACCACTGAGCCACTCTGGCTGGGTTGGCATTATAGCCAGTAATACTGGCACACATTTCTGTAAAGAATAACAGTTCCCAGCAGGGGTAATCTAGTCAGTAGAGGCCAGGGATACTACTAAACATCCTATAATATGTGGGGCAACCCCCCACAACAGGAAGTTATCCAGCCCAAAATATCCACAATGTTGGAAACCTGGCGTAGAAATTTCTTTCCCTCTCCATGTGTTTCAGGATTTTATGGAAACGTTGCCAAAATTGTCAGGATACCATGGCAAGGACCTTTTCGGAATTTGGAGTAAAGTCTACGACCCTTTATTTTGTGAGGTAAAAGAAAAAATATATTAAAAAATGAACTTGAAATCTGATTTTGATTTATGCCTACTTTGAAATAGATGAATACATTTTCTTTTGCTTTTTTTTTTTTTTTGCAGGTGTATTACTTATACTCTCTTTGATATTGAAACATAATTCAGGCCTTCTTTATATTAACTCGAACATCTTGACTTCTTCTCACCATTATTTATGTTTTCACCCTTTAGAAAATTGCAAACAAAATGGCTTTTCTTCTGTGCCTTGTCGCTTATTTTTCAGTCACTCAGAAATGTTGGGCTCCTATCGTGGATTTTAATGAAAAACATAATGTTATTGTACAGTAAGATAAAAAGAAATTAATCTGATTTCTAGATATAACAAACCAACTTTAAGCTACTATTGAAAATGGTTTATCAGGAAAGGATCTCTTCCTTGCCATGTAATGCATACAAAATAACCTTTGAAGCTAAATTAACTACTGAGTTTTTCAAGGACACGTGGTGCTTCTCACTCACGTGCTCCACCTGCTGGCAAAAAGGAATACTCTACAATCCTGGTTTCCCAACCAGTTCACGGAATCCTGGGGGGAAAGTCTGACAAAACTCATGTCCACTCCTCATTCTGCGGTCCTCATGAGTGTCTGCGGGGCAGCAATCGCTTTCATAGTTCCAACGCAATAACAGGTGACACCGTTTGCCCCCCTCTCAAGCACATGCTACCTTCCCAATATTCTTACTTTTTCATCAGCACCTGTTTCACGGAAGCTATCTCAGTCTATTTATAAACACTCTTCAATGGAGAGAAGAGCCCACATTTTGGTTCCGGTCTTGATTTTTTTCTTTCTTCCTTATTACAGTTTGATCTGAGTTATTCGATAATGTGGTCATGGTGTGTGGTTCTTTTTCACCTCTTTCTCTCTTGTTTCCTCACTTCTCACTTTTCTTTGGTCTCTCTCTCTCTCTCTCTCTCTCTCTCTCTCTCTCTCTCTCTCTCTCCTGCCTTTGAAATTTAGGCAAGCTTAATTAACTTTCATGGCAGATAGTAAATATTGGCACAGCATCTCTGCCTGCCCTGCTGTATAATTCAGTCATCAATTTACCAAATGCCTTCTGTGCGCAAGGTACAGACTTTCCTCAAGAGGCAGTGAACTGGAAGCTGGTGGGAGTAGGAGTATATTATCGAAGGCTCTAGAAATATCTTACCTTCCCATCCATCCTTTTAGGCCGCTCATTCAGCTTTTAAGGAAACATCATCTAACCCTGTTGGCTTGGTCTTCCCCCAAGGTTAATTAAAATATTTCTAAACCTCTCATAAGAGAATAAGGTATATTCTTGCCCTACCACACCCTTACTCTGAAAAATACGAATTATCCTTTGACCCAGAGTTAAGCCCAAAGCTATGGACTTGGTAAGAGGGGGCAAATTAGTTTCTGTGACTTTTTCTTCTGAAAATCAATGCCACTATTTATCACAGAGTAAAGTTTTCCTAGAAGGAAACACAGGACACGAAAGGCTGGACCCAGTAGTTCTATGGGGTGAAAGAACAAAGAAGGCAGTCAGAAATAAAAATACACCTTTCCTCCCTTTTTCTTTGCTGCAGAGTGTTCACAATTTCACGTTACCCTCCTGGGCCACAGGGGACACCATTACTAAGTTGAAAGAATTGTCAGAATTGTCCCTCCTGTCCCTGTATGGAATTCACAAGCAGAAAGAGAAATCTAGACTACAGGGGGGTAAGTACATTTTAAAAAATGAGAGGAGCAAATTGAATTTGTGATTGCATGATACAGGTCTAAGTCCTGGTTCCACCACTAATCAGCCATGCGACTTTGGAAAAATCACTTGATCACTCTTGTACCTACCAGTTTTCCCTGATGCAAAACCAGGATAATAATGATATCCACTCCATAGGTCATAAAGATTAAAATGCACGAAAATATTCAAAAGGCTTAGGACAAACACTACCTGGTACATAATATGCTGAGGATAAATGTTATGCGTTATTATAATTCTTAGTATTACCCACTCTGGGCCTTAGTTTTCCCATCTGGAAAATGAAGACTTTGGGCTAAAGCTAAATGATACTTTTCATCCTCTTCAGATCAAAGAATCAAGGATTTTGTATCTGAGCCCCATGAAAATCAATGTATCCAGTGGCCTAGAGGATGAATTTTTCAAGTGGGGGGTATGACAAAAGTGGCCTGTTTTCCCGAAACCCTTGGCGGTAGCTATTTCGAAAGTTAATCAAACATATTTTGCAGACTGATTATAGCCTTTAGAATAATACCTATTGCAATTGGCAAGCTTATGACTCAGCTTAAATTTTTCCATTGGTGTTACAAAGTGTTTATTTCTCAGTGATGCTTCTCCTCAGCTATGGCCCTTCGTAGCATGAGACATCTTATCATAATGAAGGTAACCCAGGCAAGAGGATGCCAAGCCCTTAAAATCAGGACAGGTGGGTGGAAGAAAGAAGCCAGGACCAGGCAGGATGGAGGTAGACACTGAGGCCTCTGAGGGCATCAGGTAGGAGGTCCAAGACACCAAAGGGTGTGTCAGATTCAGGTGTTGTTAATATAGACATTAAAACTAAGGATGGAGAGCAAGAGAAGGTCCATGATGTCAGGCTGACATAACAATGAAGCAATCCTACGCCATAAGAGATGGTTCAAGTCACATACTCTACACAGTTTGAGGAAAACAGTACAATCACAGCAGGACTCCATCCATGGCCAGACTCTATTTTTATGGGGTCAGGACAAGTTCAGCAGAATCCCAAAAGAATACAGAGAAGCAAAGCATCCTGGTGGTTGGACCACACTGGGAGGAAGTTCGCTTGGGACTGCATAGCTAGAGAAAGAATGCAAATCACCAGCCAGAAGAGGAGTCAATTATAGCTACCAAAAAAGAGTGATGGAAGCTATAACCAGAAGAGCAGCTAATGAGGCATGTACTCCATATGAGGCGTACAAAATAGCTTGTGGCAAATGCTTAGGACAATGGTCATTAGTGATGTGAGGAAGTTGCAGGCCTACTGTCACAGAAGACTTGATTGCATGGCACAGAGGCAGACATGGTAGAAATATACAAGTTCTTACTCCATGCTAAGGGTATGGGCAGCAAGATCCAGCCTTTTGGGAAGGGAGAGCATCCAGAGATGAGTCTTTGATAGGATCTGGTATATTGGAGGAAATCAGCAGGCAGGATACAGACTGTCTATAAAGGACAGAGCCCAGGAAACAGCTTCATCCTATGCACTAAATAATGATACGATGCAGAGGGTGAAAGTTGGGCCTCATTGGCTATATAAGCACCAGGCCTCATACATGGGCCCCCAGGTGCCAGCATTATGACTTAATACCAAGTCCCATTAGATGGTAGAGGCAGGACTCTTGATTTCTTTCCTCCAACCTAGTCATGGGCTCAGGAGTTCAGCCCCTTGCTGAAAATGCAGTCCAAGGACCAGCAACATCACCTATCATGGGGCTAGCAATGCAAAATCTCAGGCCCCACCTCAAACCAGCTGAATCAGAATCTGCATTTTCTGGAGGAAGTCCGGTGCTGTTGATAAGCCAGGAAATTGTTTCCTGAGTGATACCTGCCAAAACACTAGCTCAGCCTATTGTTCCGATCTGGCTAGGCAAGGGAGACTTGTCAGCTGCGTGCTTGTTGAATGATGAAGTGACTGGACGCCACCCTGCAGAGAAAACAGGTATTGTCTGGGTGACAGAGTCACATGGGAACATCAGGACGTTGAGCAGCAGCTTCGGACCTCTGCCAAAACTTTTTGTTCTGTCAGTTGGTTTCGGGGGTGACACTGTTGGGTAATATACACCCTCAACTCACCTTGCTACACACACACCAAGAAAATCCTTACAGTTCGCTTAGAAATATTTGGCTGGTCATACTCATATTGATGGAAATCTTTGTGTGCTCTAGATCAGGGATTGGCAAACCACACCCTGTAGTCCAAATCCAGCCCACTGACTATTTTTTGGTAAATAAAATGTTATTGAAACCCAGCCACACTCGTTCTCTGGTCATGCCTATGGCTGCCTTTGTGCTTCCACCCAAGAGTGAACAGCTACGACAGACCCTATGGCCCACAAGGCCTAAAACATCTACTATCTGGCCCTTTTCAGAAAAAGTGTGCCAATCCGTGCTGTGGCCCAAGAGTGAGGGAAGTGGCGTTTATGTCTTTCAAACAATGGCATTTTGTCTAGTTTATGCAGATTCAATAAATGACGCAATGGGGAACTCAGCAGCTAGCTTATATTGCAGCATGGTCTAATGACTAAGAGCAAGGGTTGTGAAGTAGGACATGCTGGGTTCAGAGAAGCTCAGCCTGTCTGCTCAGAGTTGTGTAATCTTGGACAGGTCTCTGAACCTCCCTGAGTCTCAGTTTCCCCTCCTATAAGACATCATCACTAGGATGCCAGAACCTGGGGATATTTGTGATAGTTCCCCCTAGTTTCTCCGAAGAACAGGTGTACAATCACTCCCGGCCAAGAGCTAATAGCATCCCATTATCAGCGCTGAAGCCTGCTGCAAAGGCACCTGCTAACAAGGGACAAGTTGATGGAAGATGGCTGTCATGACTCACAGAAGCTTGGCTCCAGGGTTTAGTACTGATGTGGCATGAAGATAAAACTGAAGTTCTTAAGGGCTCCCTGAAGGCAACCTTCCCTGGGACAGAAAGATGTAGGCCTGTTGGAAATGTAGTATCCAGCTGCTTCCATTTTGTTTTTGTTTTTGATTTTTTAAATATGTTTTTATTGATTTCAGAGAGAGGAAAGGAGAGAGGGAGAGAAATAGAGACATCAGTGGTAAGAGAGAATCATTGATTGACTGCCTTTTGCACGCCCCCCACTAGGGATCAAGCCCGCAATGTGGGCATGTGCCCTGGCCAGAATCGACCCTGGGTCAATGTTCAGCCATACTGGCCTGGCCAGCTTCCTCCATTTTTAATCAAAAAAGTCCCAGCATCTACAGAAAGCAGGTCACCTCCTCCCACCCCATAATTATCCTTTATTGTGCTTATTGGTATACAGACCAATAAAGTATCTTCTGACTATTTTATGAGCTTTCTGAGGACAGGAAATGTGTGATTCACCTAGCAAAGCATCTGGCCCATTGAAGCTGCTCAGTATGTGTCTATTAACATCGATGTCCTGCTCATTCCAAAAAAAAAAAAAAAAAGCAAAAACTGCTCATTCTTAAGACAAGCGAGCACATGTGTAATAGAGTAGAGAGACCACCAACAGAGACACAAGGGGTCTTCAGGTGATGATGGTGGAATCCCTGAGGCAACATGCTCCCCAAACAGCACCTGGCACCACAAGGGACCCTCAGCCTTCAGCGTCTGAAAACAGGATGGAGACCGAGTTGTGCATCCGCCTTTCACCACCGCGGGAGCCACAACTACCAGGTATGAAGGGCAGAATCTCTCAGCTATGAAGACACATGAAGCTAAAGATGCTGCATGCCCCTCTAATAGTGACACCCAGGGAACCTACAGAAATGGTCCGCAGGAATCAGTCCATGAACTGGACAGACGACCAGAGAGCTGCTTTCTCCCATGGTCTCCAACAGGCCTGACTGCCAGAGAGTGGAAGCAAGAGAGGCGAAGACAGAGAAGTACACACCATGCAGTCACTTCAGGCCTGCCCTGGAGGGGAGCATTGGCTAACAACTGTCTGGGAAAAAGCCGTCTGAAATACCTTCCACATTGCTCAGCCTCCTAACTTACACAGTCAATTGCACAAGTCAGAATTCAGTAAAATAATGCACGTAAATCACACGGCTAGCCCACGGCAGATGCTCAACCGAAATGAGTTCTTTTCCTCTCTTCTTAAGTCTTGAGAATCACGGCAGAGAGAATCACTAAGTATGAATTAACTGAAAGCTTATTAACTAAAATAGAAGCCCATGTTTGGTCCAGCTCCACAGTTGCTCTATCTTCTTTTAGGTGTCCTGGTCGGTGAAATCCTCAATCATATAAAGACAGCAACTCAACCATGGAACCACAGAAAACTTATCATGTATTCTGCAGTAAGTATTTTTGTCTCCACTCAACCTCCACTTGTTCAGGTGTGTGATCTCTTGAAGGCGGGGCCCTCATTTTTTATAAAATATTTTTTATTGCTTTTTAGAGAGAGGGGAAAGGAGAGGGAGAGAGAAACATCCATGTGAGAGTGAAACATCCAGCTGCCTCCTGCACGCCCCCTAACTGGGGATCAAACCCACAATCCAGGCATGTGCCCTGATCAGGAAGCAAAGGGACAACCATTCAGTGCACAGGACCATGCCCCAACCAACGGAAAAGTCAGTTGCACAAGTTACCCTTAGTTTCTAATCTGGTTTCCAGTTCTAACTTGTGTGATTCTGGGACACATATCTATAACACCAGCCAGGGCAGGGCCTTCTCTTGATCATCATTTTCTTATTACCCAGTAATTCTGGGACGTCACATATCTATAACACCAGCCAGGGCAGGGCCTTCTCTTGATCATCATTTCCATATTACCCAGTAGGTGGTAAACACCTGTTCAAAGCTTTTAAAATTAAATACATAATTCTGGCATTTGAGGAATTTGCAATCTAACACTGACCAGATGAGTATATACAGAAACACCATACAGAATAGTATAGAAATGCCATCAAGCCAGTGCTTTGGTGCCTCGAAGACAAGCACTCACTTTTCCAAACCAGGGCATCAACAGGAGAGGAGAAGCTGAGTGCAGGACTTGGTGATGGACTGGAATGTGGGTGGAAGGCAATGATGTGGAAGGAAAAGGCAATGTTTCAAACCTCGATAACTGGGAGGAAGATGAAACCATTAACAGAAGTAGTTTTAGGCCAGATGAATGTACCAATTAGACAACTGGGTTTGAAATTCCAGGGGGGGGCATCCAAGTTGAAAACTCCAGATGGCAAATGGACAGGTAGAAGAGGGAAAGGGAAAGAGAGTTGAAACTTGAAGTGAGAGCTGCATTTGGGTACAGAAAGAAAAGAGAGAGATCTGGGAGAAGACTTCCTCCTTGGAGCAGGAGAGACAGGGGAAGAGACACAGGTGGAGCGGAGTTTGCAGGGACTATGCCCTGAAATGCCCATCCATGGAGTCTGGGACGAGCAGGGAAACTGGACATAGTATGCTGACTCAGTCTTCCACCCACCATCTCCATGACAGAGGATCTTGCAGATGTGGTGTGGCTAGAGAAAGCCACGCTTTCATTCTGCACAAAGACGGAAGAGGTGATTGAAGATACAGGGAACTCTGCTTATCATCAGGGGTTCTAGACGGCATAGACCAGAGAAAGTGCTCTGTAGTGCTCCCTGGAGAGAGGCAGGCCTGGAAAGTCAGTTGCACAAGTTTCCCTAGCTTTTAATCTGGTTTCCAGTCCTAAGTTGTGTGATTTCTGGGACATCACATATCTATAATCCATTTCTTTCTCTAGTAAACCAGTTCTAACCCCTTTTTGAATATGTCTACACTGCAATATAGCTTAGGCAAACAAATGTTATACCCACTTGGCAGATATGGAAGTTGAAGATTTCATAGAATTAGATAGCTAATCAGTGACAAAACCAGTCCCCTATGCCTCTCAGCCATTCTGGGATAAACATTGAACAATTTTTTTTGTCTTTTTAAAAAATATATATTTTATTGATTTTAGAGAGGAAGGGAGAGGGAGAGAGAGACAGAAACATCAATGATGAGAGAGAATCACTGATTAACTGCCTCCTGCACGGCCCCTACTGGGGATCGAGCCCGTAACCCAGGCATGTGCCCTTGGCCAGAATTGAACCTGAGACCCTTCAGTCTGCAGGCCAACACTCTATCCATTGAGCCAAACCAGCTAGGAAAGAACAATTATTTTTTAAAATATATCTTTTTATTGTTCTCTGAGATGGAGGGAGAGAAAGAGAAAGATATAAAAATCAATGATGAGAGAGAATCATTGATCAGCTGCCTCTGACACACCCCACACTGGGAATCAAGCCCACAACTCAGACATGTGCCCTCACTGGGAATCTAACCATGACCTCCTGGTTCATAGGTTGACGCTCAACCACTAAGCCATGCTGGCTGGGCTGAACAATTATTTTTAAGCTATACACTCTACTTCCTTATATTTTATTCTCCTTAAACATTTATGACCTCATATATTCCTCTCCAATTCCTCTAAAACCCCAGATCATTCTATACACAAAAAGAATCTAGCATTAATATGTTCCAAAGTATATTATTTTTAAGCTATACACTCTACTTCCTTATATTTTGTTCTCCTTAAACATTTATAACCTCATATATTCCTCTCCAATTTTAAAACCCCAGATCATTCTATACACAAAAATAATCTAGCATTAACATGTTCCAAAGTACTTTAAAATTTTAATGAAAATGACACAAGCTAAAAGAGAGATGCCTCTGGGAAAAGGCATGGGGGGAAAATCAGAAGACTTGGCTTAAATGTGCTTCCTTTCTTTGGGGGATTATGTGACAGTAAGTGAGCTACTTAATTTTTCTTGGGTCTGTTTCTTCATCTTTTAATTGGACGTAGTGATGTGTATGCAAATCTGACTGCCTAGCACACAGCAGATGCTCAACCAAAATTAGTTCTTCTCCTCTCTACGTCTAAAGTCACTAGGGGTATGGGGAATTTAATTGAATCACAAACCATCATGGTGCTTTACAAATGCTGAATATATACCTATTGAATGTAAATCTGAAACCGAGGTAAAGATTAAAAAGTGATTTATTTCCAATCTCTGCAGCATGACACTACTGTAAGTGGCCTACAGATGGCGCTAGATGTTTTCAATGGAATCCTTCCTCCCTACGCTTCCTGCCACTTAATGGAATTGTACCTTGAGAAGGGGTAAGTGTCTAAAGAGGTGCTTTTCAAAATTAATATCATTGGACCTGAAGTTTTTTTTATTATTATTGCTATTGTTAGATTAACTGTATTCTTAAGATATTTAATTTTCAGTTAGGTACATAAACTTAAAAATCATATACTACATTAAATAATTCACTAAATTAAAAATATTGTGTGCCATTCACATTTTATCAAACAATTATATCCAAACTTCTGTTTGCATCTTAACTTGTCTTCACCACGAGAGCCCATTTTGAATCCCCTAAAACTGTTTACCAGCTCTAGTAACTAATAAGAGTAATTTTGGCTGCTGTAGAAATGAACCTTGAATTCTCAGAGGCTTACTTAATCCAATGGAGATTTATTTCTCAATCATTCATCTGACAGTTCAGTGTAGATGTTCCTAGTCAGTAGGAGCCACAGGGTGATTCAGGGACCCAGGGTTCCATCTTTTGGACCTACAGTTTTTAAGGGTGCTGGGCTCATCTGCAGGCAGCTTGCAGAAAGGATCAAGAGGGTGGAGAAAGCAACCTGCTTATGAATCACCTCAGCCAGAAGGGGAACGTATCACTTCTACTTACATTCTACTGGCTAAAATTAGTCACTTGGTCCAACTGAGGTGCAAGGGGGTCTGGGAAATGTAGTCACTCCTCAGCTTTAACTCCGTTCTATGGAAAGAGAATCACAAATTTTGAATGACTTTGGGTCATCTTTGCCATATCATCTTTTTTAAAAAAAACTATTTTTTAAATATGTTTTTATTGATTTTAGAGAAAGGAAAAGAGAGGGAGAGAGAGAGAGGAAAGTATTGATTGGCTGCCTCCTGTATGTATTCTGATGGGTACTGGACCCAATAACTGGGCATTTGCCCTAACTAGGAATTGAACCAGTGACCTTTCATTGCACGGGACGAAGCTCAAGCAACTGAGTCAAACCGAACAGGACTGCCATATCATCTTCAGATAAAAATGCTGTCACTGGAAAAGTTGTCCCCAATAAAAGTACTCATTCCCATAATATTAGGGACGTTTTTAAAAACTTATAAGTGATTACATATTTGTTTATATGGCTTTTTAAAGTAATGTTTAAAGGCTTGTTTATAACAACATCCAAATGTGCAATTGTGAGGTTATTATACCCTGCTCCCAAAGAAAAAAGAAATCACTAAATCCTATTTGAATTTCTCTCCGGCCTCTTTGGCAAATGACTTTCACAAGCACTTCATACTAGCTCTACTGAGATTGGTTTAGGACAATGCACCTTCCCCAAAAAGTACACTGTTTTTTGAAAACAAATATGGAGAGAACCCTCTTTAATATGAGAGAATGTAAGGATTTGAATATAAATCCTCACTTCGTCTTTCTAAGGTATAATTTTGATAAAGTCTTTGCTGTGTTCAAACACATATGTTATGTATTATTCAGTTCCATGTTTATGACCTGGTTAAGGAGAGGGGAGATGGATTCATTCATTCAGAGGAAAGACTGAAAAATACTGAGGGATGAAAAGAGAGAAAAGGAAGGAGCAAATGAGAAGCATAGAAGAAAAAAAATAGGAGAAAGGAACCCCTATATCCCACCCCAATTCTTACTCAAAGGCTCATCAAATCACCCCCAACTCCTCCAACCACGGCCTTTCAGCTTCTTCTCTGATCAAGTATTCTGTTCTCTATCTCCTATGCCCCTGGTCATCTAACAAACCAACCCCCTTCCCCCATTTCCACCCTCTTGATCTGGCCCACCTCCACTGTCTTCCCATTCTTACCCCTAAATTAGTTAAAATCTACTTATTCCCATACATTTTTCTACTAGTCCCTCAGCTGGTGGGTTACAGGCTAAGTAGAAAGAAATTCATGGCAGTTCAACAATACAAAACTAACAGAGCTCTCTCCTCTACCTTCCTCCACCAGGGAGTACTTCGTGGAGATGTACTATCGGAATGAGACTCACCATGAGCCATATCCCCTCACGCTGCCAGGCTGCACCCCCAGCTGCCCACTGACGAAGTTTGCTGAGCTGGTTGCCCCTGTGATCCCCGAAGACTGGTCCACGGAGTGTAGAATCACGAGCAAACATCAAGGTACTAAGGACATTGGGGATTAGGGTGCACGCAGAGCCCTGCAGAAAGGGCAGAATGCCCTTCCTTAGGGTGGACGGTGCTTTGAGAATATAACATGACCATTATCCCCCAGATTTAAAAGAAACCGGTTTTTGGTGATAATCATATGTTTCAGGGACCCCAATTTCAGGCAACTCCTACCTCTCTACCTGCCCTTGCCACTTGCCATAAACCTTGACTTGATTTATCTCAGTGTTAATATAAAAGGGCATCAATGCCTACATATAACCAGAGATAAGACTTCAATCAAAATTCCTGGAGCTCCCATGAGCTACATGATTGACCACATAGGACCTTTTGTTGTTTAAAGATTTCAAGATTTTATTTAAGCAGAATTAAATGAGGCTGTTCTTTAAGTGTCTGAAGTGGAAAAGGTTTCAAACAAATCTCGGTGACAGCAAAGACGGGAAGACTTTAATCCTAGGCTAATGGGCAAAGAACCAACTTACCCATTACTTCCAGCCTTCTCACAAGAAGCAAAGAAATGAGCTACAGTAGAGAGATCTGGAGAAGTAATCTACACCAGGAAACTGATCCTATCTTTCAATGTTTCTGTAAAAACGTATTGGGTGGCAGAGCTGAAAAATAAATACTCTTTGTATCCTTTGGCACGGGAAAATTCATGTTACTTTTGATGGAACCAAAAGCAATCTTGCCAGCAAACTTTGCTGTACATAATGCATATGTATATGTATATATATATATCATAGCAAATAAGTAATTTGATGAGAACAAGTACTCAGGCCCCAGCAAACTTTGCTGTACATAATGCATATGTATATGTATATATATATATCATAGCAAATAAGTAATTTGATGAGAACAAGATACTCAGGCCCAGCACATCAAGATGAGAGCCCTGCAGAGTGGAGTTGCTCTCAAAGCTCCATGGTAAGACATGTTGCATGTGGAGTTGATATAAGAGAGGAAGCATGATGACGCAGTTTCAAACTGGAACAAAATTAGAAATGCCAGAATGTCTTGAATGCCTCCAAGATCTAAGCTTACTGGAATATTGAAAGTGTGGCTGTGATACCTGTTCTGATGACAAAAGCGACGTGTAAGGCTTTGGTCCTGGTTTCTGCAAAAAACCTAAGCACCCACAGGTCCTGCTGAAACTACTCACTTATGTAAGAAGAAATCATGTTCAAATGATGACACTTTGGAGTCCTGTAGATTTGCCACGTGGTAGATGCAATGCATCTAGAGAACAGCGTGCTATGCCATGCTTACTGCTAAAGATGAAATGGTTTCTAGAGATGGTTTCTACTGGGCACCAGAGTCTAGAGCTAGGCTGTTCCCCCTCCCAGTTGGCCATGGGATGACTGACACAAGATATTGATTCACATACTTATTTGCATGATTTCTTTCCCAAGTAAATATGTGGCTTTGGGGATATCATCTAATTATTCTTTCTCCTCCATGCATGTAACTTTCCTCCAGAAGTGAGCCAAGTGTAAAATAGTGAATAAAGTCGTTGTTAGGAAGTTCAATAACCATTACATTTTTATAATGGATGATGAAAAGTGTGTGTGTTTAATTATAATAAAATTCCCGAAGGACAGATTTTAGGGACTTTTTTTGTTTTGTGGCTTTATTTTAATGTAACAGGAGGAAAAATATATAAAGTAAAATTATTTGACTGGCTTACATTAACATTATTCATTGAAAATATATTTAGTTTGGACTTGACTACTTCAGATAAAGGCTAAGCTGATGGATGGCTCTGCTTCATCTATTTAGGATAAAACTTGCTAAGAAAACATCCTTGGGCAATTTATGATGTAGTAGGAATTAAAGAGATACTTATTACACAAAATAACTAGGGTTTATGTCTTATGACTACAAGGGTTGCTATGGGAACAAGAGCTACCTGGATTTCGAGGGAGGGAGGTAGTAAGGAATGTCAGGGAGGCTTCTTGCAGGAAGTGACAACTGACCCATCTGAAATCAGTGTGGATGGGGGTTTCTAATAATGTGGTACAAGGTACTTGAAAGGCATATATCAAATGTCCTAGTGGCTGGAAGCTGGAATGGATAGGGGAGTTACTCCCCAGAAGATTCCTAAGGGGCCAGTTCTAAAGAAATAAAATGTCATCTCCACAATACCCAGGATTCTATTTTGTTCTCTGCTATATCTGCCCTGGGCACCTAGAAGTGCCTATGCCTGGCATGGATTGGCTCAATGAACATTCGCTCAGTGAGTGTATGCATTAGTTACCTTTCCTCCCTGAACCTACTCTTAGAATCCATCTTGACTGGCAGCAATACCAAGTAACCTGGGAGTGTTTTTTGACCCCACCCTCTCCTTCATCCTCCACAGCTAATCTGTCATCTCTTATCAAATCTTATCATACCTGTAGTATGTTTGTAAATATTTTCCTCAAAACACCACTATCAACAATTCAAGATCCACATAGGATGAAATATAATTAAGCAGCAAAATATGTTAAGAAGAAGAAAACTCAGGGACTGGTGTGTTCAAGCAGATCAAGAGAGGAGCGTGTGCATTGCTCACCAACTATGATTCAACGACTTCATTTTGGTGGTTTGAAGTTGGCCATGGTGTCACAGCTGGAGCATTTTCACCACAGAAATCAGCATATGCCACAGATCAGTGTGTTATTGGTTTTTTTATTTTTGTTTTATGAGATCCAGTTACCAGCACACAACTGGTTTTAGCTCATAGAAAGCTTGTTAAGAGTCTATGACATGAGGTGGTCTCCAACAAAGTGAATTTAATATTTGAACTTCTTTAAGTAAAAAAGGATTGCATTTGTTCTATAGGGCCTCAAACAGTGATGGTAAGGGCAGCAGGGAAACATTTCAGGAAGACAGATTGTGTCTGTGTTAGGAAATTTCTGGGACTGGGAGTGTCCGTTGGGCTGGTGGTCACTTGCTTTGACGAGACACTGGAGAGCAAGGTGAAGCACCAAAGAGTGTAGGGGTTGAATGGCTCCTTAATAGGGCATCCAAATTTAGCAAATAAAAGTACAAGATGCCAAGATAAATATAATTAATAGTTCTAGTAACTGAATTTTTATAATATATATATATTTAAAAGGCCAAATTAAGGACATTTAGGCTGTTCTGAGAAGCCCAATGCAGGAAGCAGGACAATGTCACTAAATAAGGACATGTTCTAGATATACAGAATGCCTGGCAACCCTACTCCTGAGGGCATTTCTACCCATGAAATCCTACTCATACCTGCAGGCAGTGTTTTCAGCTAGTAGACCCAATTAATTTAATTCTCACATCAATTAAATTAACCAGAGCCTTTGCTGGAAAATTCATGATAAGTCTAAGTTCCATACTGTGTTACTTAAAAAAAAAAATTCTTTTTTAGAAAATGCTTTGTTAATTCCCAAATTTTACTAACACAATCAGATCTTCACTAGCACTCTCCGAACCCTTACCTCAATCTCCACTCCAGTTATTTCACAGGAAGGAGATTCACTGGTAGGCAGTTCCTGTGTCCCCTAATAATACTTGAGAAGTTGAGACTCTATAGCACATATACACATGCCCGAAAGTCAACCATGAGCCTTGAAGGCAGGATCCATACTTTTTTCCTCCTTGAATCTCCAGGCAGTCTACAATGCCTAGAATCTGGTACCTTCAACCAATATTTGCTAATTGAATAAATGTTCAGCCGTCCATACCTAGCCTAGCTTCCTCATGGCCGGACCCAGATGTCAGAAGCCTGCACTCAGTTGTTTAATAAATAGAGGAAAGCTATGAATGAGCCTCAAATGTGACTGCCCGATAAAGATGCAGTCATGGACTATATATACATATGCATAGATCAACATGTCTGTGTTATTTGACCTCTTATTTCAGCATAGTCACCTTGTTATTCTCTTATTCCCCCATTGCTGTTTAGAGACCTGTTCAATGATACCCATCCCAGCACTTTTCCTACCTCAGAAATTAGGCCATCTGATTGTAATATTTTTTTCCCATCCTCGTTGCCATTATCATCAGTTTTCCCAAGACATGTCTCATCATTCATAAGAAGACATTGGAAACTTGCTTTGGTATATACCAACTCACACCTCATTTCCACTTCTGCCCTCAATCTAAGCAATTTGGACAGTCCTAACAATGCCCCACCTCATATTCTGCCCATCCTACCAATATCCAACCCTACATCAGATCAAACACACAGTTTCTCCATTCTGATCTGCTGAGTGAAGCTTAAGGCTGTTGTCACCATTTCAAACTATGAGTGTTGAAATTTCTATTCCAACCGCAGCTGGATCTTTCAACCCTGCTTGGTAAAGGGATTCACCCTTATGGGACTCTTTTCCTGTTTTCTACAGAAAGGCATTGTGTTGTGTGTGTTTTTCTGAAATTTCTAATTCTATCTTGGCTTTTTAAATTCTCATATGTCTAAGAAGACCAAGATAATCCATTGAAAGCCCTTTTAACTTCTGTCACTATCTCAAAATATCTCAGTAGCTTGAACCTGCCTTTACTGCTGTCCCTCTGAAAACATGTTCCTCCTTGAGTAACCTAATTCCTTCCCCTGTTCATATGGTTCCCCAACACTTCAGTTTCCTTGGACCTCAATGAGTCTCTTAGCTTCATTTTGTTCCATAGAAGGCTCCATCCCTTCTACGATGAAAACAACCAAATCTTCTCATCAGAGAATGCCCTCCAGTGCCTGTTCTATCTCATTCTCTTCCATCTTAATTTTCTCAAACGAGTAATTTGCACTCTCTAACTCTATTTCCTCATCTTCCTCTCCTGAACTATTTTGAAAAATGATCAACCTTCCTTCATGTTATTAATCCTCACCCAAGGATATGTTTATTGATTTTTAGAGAGAAACATCAATGTGAGAAACATCAACTGGTTGCCTCCCATACACACCCCGATCCTTCATGTTTTTTGAAACTTCCTTTTTGAAAGCCATCAGTGCCTAATTCAGCAGCCTCTTTTCCTTCCCCTGACAACTTCACATATCCCCATTATGCAGAGAAAAATACCGAACCTCAGAAAATCACATGCCACAAGTGGTAGGGTCCAAATTCAAGCCTAACACTTTCCAACATCGTATTTCTATTATATCAAAGTTCCTTTCCATCCCACACTGTCTTGTGCACCATTTCCTTAGGGAAAATTCCAAAAAATGGGATTAGTGGGTCAAAGTACATGAATATTTAATAAGTAATAGATATTTATTGAATCCCTATTTATGTACTCAGTATGTCCCTATGTAGCAGGCATTAAGTTTGCTGAGGAAACAGCAGCAATACAAGACAATTGTCTCCTGTGGCTTGTAGATCTGGGCAGGGAGGTGGGGAAGCAGGCAAGAGGAGAGGGAGATAGAATTAAACAAGCCCTAACTGAGCCAGGCAGTTTTGGGGTTTTTTAAAACACAAATTGGGCCATGTCACTTCCATATGTAATAATTGTTAATAATTTCCATTTGCACCACGGCAAAGCAGACCTTCCAAAACCTGGATCCCAACCTACATATCTGGTCTCACCTCACCATAACCTATACTCCAGTCACATGCAACTGCTTATTATTTTCCCAAACATACTCTTGAGCTATTCATTCTATCTCCTGGCAAAATCTTATTTACCACACAGGCCCGTTCAGATCTTATCATTTTCTCAGAAGACTTTCCAAACTCTTTCTCTTCCAAATAGAATACCTTGTGTCAATTGCAAGACAGGCATATATTTACAACTCTATTTTACTATGTATCACACTAACTCATAATTATCTATCTGATTATTCCACTGGTATTGAATCTCCTCAAGAGGAGGGATCATAGAACCCCAGAACCTAACACACAGCTGGTCTGGCATATAGTGTGTGCTCTCTGCATGCCTAGGGAGGCATGAAGGAAGGAAAGAGGAAACACCTATTTCATTGAACCACAATGACAACATAGCCAAAAAAATCACTGAAAATGATTTCTGCCCTGGCTCAGTGGTTGAGTGTCGACCTATGAACCAGGAGGTCACAGTTCAATTCCCAGTCAGGGCATATGCCCAGGTTGTGGGCTCAATCCCCAGTGGGGGGTGAGGAATCCAATCAAAGATTCTCATCATTGATGTTTCTATCTCTCTCTCCCTTTCCATTCCTCCCTGAAATCAATAAAAATATACTTAAAAAAATAATTTCCAAATACAGACAGTCATGGACATTATTTTTAAGAATCGTTAGTCTCTGCCTTCCTCATTTCCATTTAGTCCTTTCCTTCCTTCTTCAATTCCATTTAGTTCCCTCCAACTTGACATTAACTCCATCCTCAATGCTAATGGCACCCAACTCCCAGGTTCTAATTTTATTAATATTCACCTTCTCATGTTGCTAAGAGAATTCCTGACATCATAAGAAAAGCACTGGACTAATAGTAAGGAACCCAGGAGTTCTAGATCATCGATTCATTCCACAAATATTTATTGAGCACTTGCTATGGGGCAGGTACTGTTGTAAGTGCATTAGATACATTCATGAACAAAAGAGACAAAACTGTCTGCCTTCGTGAAGCATACATTCTATTAGAGAGGGAAAAAGGATGGACAATAAGTAATAAACATGGTAAGAAAGTGAAGATCATTAACACCAGACTGGAAATGGATCTGGGGAGAGGACATATAGATTGCACCTTTGAATGAAACTCCTCCATGTGAAGATGAGATTTGAGAAAGAAGGTGATGCAGTGGCCTGATGCAGAGATATGTGAAAAGAGCATCCAGACAATGATAACAATATAGCAAAGGCTGTAAGGGGGAGTGTGCCTGGCATGTTTGAGGATGGACAAGAAGGCCTGTGTGGCCAAAAGAGTGGAAGGAGAGGGACAGGAGAGGAAATCCAAGAGGTTAAAAAGCCAGGTGATGAAGAGTCTCATCAACTGTTTTAATCAGGGCTTGGGCTTTCATTCCTGTGAGAGGAGCATTCACTGTAGACTTTAAGTAGAGTACGCTGATTTGACTTGAAGTCATTTGGCTGCTGGGTTAAAAACAGACTGATTGTAGGGAAGAAAGGATAGAAGCTAAGGAGCAAGACAGGAGGGCATTGTAGTAATCCACCCCCCCGCACCTTCCCCCCAATGATGGTGGCTCAAAGCAGGATAGTGGCAGAGAAGGGGAGAAATCATTGGGTTCCAGATAGTTTTTTATAGAAAGAACAGGATTTCCTGACTGGTTGGGTATAGGATGTGAGAGAAAGAGTTAAGGAAGACTCCAAGAGTTTTGGAGTGCAACACTAGGAGAAGGAGGTTTCCATCAACTGAAGTGGGGAGGCTGCAGGAGGAACAGATTTGGCAGGATGTTGGGGGTAGGGGTGAGTAGAGGTTGGGAGTGCAGTTTTGGAGTGCCTACTAGATGTCCAAGGGCATATGTCGAGGACACTGTTGGATATATGAGTCTTGAGTTTGGGGAAGATTTAAATTTGGAAGTCATTAGTAAATAGATGGCTTTTAAAATGATATGACTGATAAGATCCTATGTATTCCAACCCAAATTCAAATATCTGCTTTAACTTAGCCAAATTATCTAATCTAATCTCTCCACTTCTCATTTTTATCATCTCTACATGATAAAGTTAGGCTAAATAAGTGATTTTCAACTGGGTTCCGTGGAACACTCACTAACTAGGGTTCTGTAGACAGAGCTTCCAGGATCAGAGATGTTTGCTCTCCCATTGCCTTTGCCAACAGGCAATCCATATTTTTACAATGAAAGTCAGACATACATTTAGATATTTATGACATGCACACTATAGTTAACTAGGATGTATGTGTGGGTGGGGTTAGGATAACTTTCCAGGTGAAATAATGAAGAGCATCTCATTTAAAACGACCCCATATATCTGTATCATGCATGGTCAGCTGTCAAAGGGATATGTGTAAATGAAGGTACAGATTAACAGTAGTACACAGTTATCCTAAAAAATGCTTGCCCAGCTGGCATGGCTCAGTGGTTGAGCATAGACCTATGAACCAGGAGGTCACGGTTCGATTCCCAGTCAGGGCACATGCCTGGGTTGCAGGCTCGATCCCCAGTGCGGGGCATGCAGGAGGCAGCCGATCAATGATTCTCTCTCATCATTGATGTTTCTATCTCTCTTATATACATATATACACATATAATCTTTTTTAAAAAAATGCTTGCCATAGTCAATCTGTGCTCAAGGTTTCCTCTCTACATATATACATATGTACATATATACACTAAAGGAGTAATAGAAATATAATGCAAGCCAATTTGATTTTACCAAAAATCAAATGTTGAAAGATGATATTCCATTTCTTTTAAATCCAATTAATGATTGAAGTTGAGTATTCAGAAATTCCTTTGACCCCGAGACCATGGACAATTAATAATTTTAATTGTAGAAAAATACATAAAGCTAGTCCTGGAAGAGGAGAAATACTTCAGTCAATTGCCCTCCCTTTACAGTGGAGGAGTTGAGGCACAAAGGTCAAAAATCATACTGGAACTGGGACTTAGGTCATCTCCTGAGTCCTAGTCTATTGCTCTTTTTACCACACTATGCTGATTTCAAGGCTGCTTCAGAAATGCCACTGACATTTACAATTAAGGCAGAGCCCTGGCTGGTGTGGCTCAGTTGGTTGGGTGTCATCCTGTGCATCCATGGGTTGCAAGTTCGATTCCCAGTCAGGGCACATGGCGGATTTGGGGGCTCAGTCCCCAGTAGGGGTATGTAGTAAGCAACTGATCGATGTTTGTATCTCTCTCCCCCTCTCCCTTCCTCTCTGTCTGAAATCAATAAAAACATGATTTTTTTTAAAGGCAGACATCAACACTGATTGATTAGTAATCTTCATATTTTTCTAATCCATTAATTTTACATTAATGTTCTTCCTATTTTCCCACAGTCCTAAGGCTCGCCCTTGCCATTGCCTTTTGCCTGGTGTCTGGTATCCTAGTGGTGCTTCTATTTACCCTCGTCCGCCATGGGCCCTGCTGGCAGAGAGGCTCCTATCGGGACATTTGAACAGACAGCTGAAGAAGGGCGGACGTGCCCACCTTCTGTGAAGCAGCATCTCTCAGTGACAGAGGATTCAAAGGACAGTTTCACCATGTGGGCGCAACCCTGCCCACACTCTTCCTTTTGAGTCTGCCTAGAGCAGGAACTCACAGTGAGTGGCCCAGGGACAGCTGCTGGACTGACTGATGAATGAACGCCCAGGTTGCTTGGTTCGGTCTCATCGCAGTGCAGGCTTCTCATTCAGCTAGGAAGAAGTTCTCTGCAAGCGACAGTTGTATTCTCTGGCACAGGTGTCCAGACAGAAACAAGAAGTCAAACTCCAATCAACCTGTAGCCTGCAAAGATCAAAAGGTTACAAGGTGTGGCAAAGACATAGATTAAAGAGGCCTGGATAATGGAAGGGGGGGATTAGATTAGCAGTAGAATTATATAGGATGATTCTTAAAAAAAAATAAGACCCAATCAGAAGGTTTAATAAATTTGGTTGTGTGGTGTGTTTTTTTCCAGCCACTAAGTAGGTTTAATACAAATGCACACACACACACACTCTGGAAAAGCAACTCCTACCCTGTGTTTGATAGCCAACACATACATACACATATCTATATTGAAAATGCCTATATTTGATTATCAGAAACTGTAATATCAACTATTTTAGTTGTAGCTCAGATCATTTTCCCCATAATTTTTATCATGGGGAATAACTAGAAAATCTACGTACCCCTGGTTCTTCTTCTTTTTTTTTTTTTTTTTTTACCTCAACCATCAGAGCTCGATATTTTTGAAGATCTGATTTCTTTATTTCATTTTAAAATTAAGAGATTTCACTTTGATAAGGGCTATTCATAGCCACTGTGAAATGATAATGTATTTTAATTGCTGCAAATAGATCTGAATTTCTCAAGTGGTGAGGTAGATAGAAAAGTAGATTGAAGGATGATGACCGATGATGAGCCTCAGCTCCGTGCTAGCTTTAGGCCAAGTTGGAACAAATGTTTTAAAATCTAAAACCTTGGCTTCATAATCTAGAAATGAAGAGTCCTGACTCTTCACAGAAGTCACATCTAGTTCTCATGGTCTATGAACAATGTGTTTTTTCATTTTGTACTCTGGATTGGTCATTGTCCAAGCAAACACTTCCACGAATGGTACCATTGTAGTAAGCCTGAAATTTATTCTTAACAATTATATTCTGCATTGAGCTTCACCCATCCAGTTGGTGGAAAATTTGATTTCCTTCATTGGTAGCGTTCTTCACCTCCTTGGGTTCACCTAAAAGTCCCAGAGTGTACCTAGTGGAAAGAGTCAGGGGAGGGTCCAGTAGATTGCTGTCCACACTGGTCTCCAATCAGCTCACTTTCCATTCCCACGTGGTGCTCTAAAGGTAGGGCATCGGTACCATGACTCCCAAGGCTGTGAACACAGTTGGAGCTCATCAGCCTGGCATTGTCCAGTCCCCTACTGGGGTGTTACCTGCAGGCAGTGCTGGGATCTCCCACCAGCATAGAACCCGCTGCCCCCAGAACCCTACCCCATTTTTTAGTCTTAGTCTCAGAAACCTTCCTCTCCCCTTGGATTCCACAGCTTCCACTGTTAAACTCCAAGCACTTACCTCTCATCCTCAATTTCTGCTTAATTCTCACTGAGCTATGGCTATTACAAACAAAAGCCTGAGAAGTTGTCTTCTCTTGCCAGGCACCTGCTGCTTTCTGTGGGAACACAGGAGGCACATAGGCAAGAAATACAAGATTTGACTACGTTCTCAGCTTGGGGAAAGGCAAAACATCTATAGCAGCAAGAAGAAAGAGCACATTTCTGTCTCCACAAAGTAGCCAGCCATATCAGTAGGGAAGTCACAATATCCTATGGTAATAAGTGACGAGACTTTAAAATAGAAGTATGAATAGAACCGCAAGTCATGGATTTTCTCACTCATTCAACCAACATCTATGGAAGACCTACTGTTTGCTAATCTCTGGCCTAGATGCTAAATTGTCCATCCCTAATTGTTTATTAAGGTGTTTGGCCCCAACAACTATTTTATACAGGGTTGACAGAATGTGAAAGTAAAAGCTTTCACACCTTTTCTTCATATCTTTTCTTACCATAAGCAGCTAAAAGGACCTCTAGTTACTATTGTTCTGAGAGATTTTTAACATCCCCCTGTTCTCTTCCTCTACCATCTCTTGATTGCTGTAAAGAAAGTTCTCACTCCCAACTTAGCTGTTACTTTTACCTTCCACAGAACTATGCTGTTGACCAATGCTGTCATTGTTTTTTCATACTTCATGGCAGAACTCGCATGTGACAAATGAAAATTCGAAGTGACAAATGATCTATAGTGATAAAGCAAAGAGCACAAATGTACTGTAACATTCCTCAGGAAATAAGTTAATCATCCAATTTCCATAGGAAATTATCTCTACTGATAAAAGGGACTTTTTCAGATGGGTCCAGTTGACACGATGATAAATATTGTATGAAAAACAATTGCTAGGGTTGAGATAAGCTCTGCTCTGAAATGTATTCCCCACATTTGAACCACTGGAGAGGCCTTTGAGCAGAATTAGAATATTGCAATAATTACTATATCAATGTAGGGACATTCCCTGCCATAAAAATTATCAGCAATGTATATGTAGGAAAGTTCTAAGGAAAAGCTGAGGTAGAATATTCCTAGCTAGAATGGTATTGCATAAAGAAAGTATTAAGAGAACATGATTCAAAAAGAATAATTGGAAGAGTACAGCATTAGAGACAAACATTTTACTGGAAGTCATTCAAACAAGAAAACTTTTTAATATTAAAGCTGGCATTTTTTTTTCCTGATCACATTCCTTATTCTCTCAATGTTCTGTTTTCTGTCTTGTTCTAATATTGTTGGCATTGATTCTCTCTTCATAGCCGGTGGGGGTGGGGGGGGGATTTCTTGGTAAGTGAAAGCCCAAGTGTTAGTTTTCTCTTTTAAAACTTTCTTTTTAGAAACTCTACTTGAACAATAAGGGCTACATATATACACTAAAGGAGTAATAGAAATATAATGCAAGCCACAAATACATATGGGATTTCAAATTTTCAAAAGGTAAAAATAATGAAATTAATTCTAATAATAAAATTTATTTAACCAGTGCATCTAAACTATCACTTCAACGTATAATCATTATTTTAAAAGTTTATTAATGAGACATTTTACAGTTTTTTTTCATACTAAATATTTGAAATCTGATGAGTGTTGCACCCTCACACACATCTCAATTTGGACTAGGCACATATCAAGTCTCAATAGCCACATGTGGCCAGTGGCTGCCATATTGGACAGTACCACTTTAGACCATTAGATGGCAATCCTTTGAAGCAGAGAGAATGTATTTGTTATAATTTGTAAAATCCACTTTCAGGTTATTGTGAAAAAATAAAAGTCAAATTTTTATGTCTATCTCTTAATATTTTTGCATGTTTGCTGAATCAATAAAAGATTTTTCTGAAATGTTTTTTTTTTTGTAAACTTGCCTTGCCTACTATACTTTAGAGAAAATACACTTTTCCTAAAACTACCCTAAACTAAATGGACAAGTTCCTTTTCTTATCAAATATTTTAAGAAAAAAAATGACATCATGCTTAGAAAATAAGTACTGCCAGATTTGGGGGGAAGGTGTCTTTTAAAGTAATTTTAATACAATTACAAGTGATTGTATTCAAAACAAAATAAGTGCAGATAATATAGAAGAGTATAAACTACAGAGTAAAAGATCTTCCTACCCACTTCCAATCATCGGAGGCAGTGCTGTCAACAACATCTGCTCTTTGTTCCCCTGTGAGTAGCATGAATTTTATGAACTACACTTATGCCTTTATTTTCTGAAATTTTACATCTTTCACTGCTCATATAACCCATATTGCCCTCTTTCTTGTATTCTTTTTTTAATTTTATTGACGTAATTTTAAAAGGATACATGAGCACAAAATATGTCTATATTTTGTCCTCTTACCTGTCAATTGGCTAGCTATAAAACTTTTCAGATTGAAAATCACTTCCCTCTAGAATTTGAATGCAGTATTCTGTTGACATCTAGCATACAGGACTACTGATGACAAAACCGGTATCAGTCTGATTCTCATTCCAATGTAAGTAATCTGCTGTTGTCTGTTTTATTTTATTTTATGTATGAGTGTCTCTACATATGTTCATGTGATTGTCTTAGACATTGTGAATGAGATATTTTAAGACAGGATTTTATTGTGTTCCTCTAGAAATTTTGGTGTGTGTGTGTTTGTTTTTTTAAGCAGTCAGTTAAGTTGGCTGAACTCAAACTGCAAACTGTCTCCCCTGCAGAGGGCAGCAGCTCAAATCTCAGTTCAGTTCTTTTAACCTAAATTAGGCTGCTTGAAGCCTTTCCTGTGTATGGTTAGTTCAAGTTGTGGGGGTCAGCCACAGAGTTTGTATATAGTTTTCCGCTCTGGCTTTCAATTTTGGGGGATTTTCTTCTCACTTTTAGAGGCTGTAGATGCCTTCAAACTCTGTCCTCTAGTACTTCAAACTAGTAAAACTATGGATTCCCGCCCCC